ATCCTCGTGCAGCTTGATCAACATCTCCTCCTTCACGGATGATTCCTCCCAGATCTGCATCTCCTCTGCGTATGGATCTATACGCTTGCTTGCTTCTTGCCTCCCTTTGATGCGAAGGTAGCGGCAGCAGCGGCGATGGTCTTCTTTGATTTCCCCATCTCGCAGAAGTTCATGAATTTCTTCACTCGCATTCACTAGCGGCGGCTAGGGTTTGTGAAGTGGGCTCGAACAAGAACACTGGAGGAGGCGGCGTGAGTGAAAGGGGTAAAAACCCTCAGTTATTGTGGGGGGTTATTTATAAGCCCGTCATCACAGTGTGAAATCAGCATTGGTGCCGCTACTGGGCCTCTCAATGGCCCAACTAACCCTTCGATTTCTCCATCGCTACAGTGTGAAAACGATACAGCGCCGTTACTGGGCCTCGCAACGGCCTAATGGCCCTTCGACTTCCACACTATACAACTTCACGCCGTTTTACATGGTTTATTATTTCAGATTGGCAGCCACGCGGCTTTGCAACATTCACATCATGAAATACCACAGGTCGAAGACAAGTCAGAATTTTTTGAAGAATTTTTTCTATTGAAGAGTATAGATATTGGATACAAATTTTTTTAGAAAATAAGCCCAATAATTACCACAGTGGAGACCAAGTACGGGACGATAGATTGTCGAAGCAAGTCACCTTTTCATCTAAATAAGCCCAATAAGTACGATGACCCATAAAAAACCCAGAATGATGTATTTCGACTGTGAAATTATCACTATCAGCACCTACATTTGAGGCAACAAACCAATTTCAGAACTAATTCAACTTGGACATGGCACACCTAGGACGAAATCAGAAACCCTAGCCTAGCCAAAACTGTAAAGATATGGCCCAATCCACACTCCCAAGACACGAACTACACTTCAAAGAACATAAATACACCAAAGAATAGATATCGGAGGAACTTACCATAATTTGGGGGCGGCTCCCCTTTCCGCCGCGGTTTGAGCACCATCGTCCTCCTTTCTCACTAACGGTGAGGCACCCTAGCCACAAAAACGAAAGGTGGATCCGACTTCACCACCTGATTCTCCAGTGTGGCCGTCAATCGCCTCCCTTGGTGACCCCTCCCGCTCAGTCGCTCGCCGACCCTTTCCCTCCCGCGCGCGACCAACTCAAGGAACAAAAACCCACACCAGAAATGAGAAGGGAGACAACCAGGGGGGCAAGCTGCATAAATCCATGGGCCAACCATCCTCACGTGCCCGTCACGTGCTGCAAAACAGGTTCGGTCCACGCTGGCCAGGACACGTCGGCAAAAAGACGATGACGCGGCAGATTGGGCCGTCGGTGAACAGATAAACAAGTTTAAGGGTCCATAAATGCAATTTTAGAGTCCATGAACCTATTTGACACACCAAGATAAGTCCATGTACCTATGGTGCATTTAACTCTTCTTTTTAATATCCTTATTCTCAGTACAATTACTCGGACACAGGCACGGGCTGTAGGGTACATATCCTCTTACGGATGTTTTTCTTTTGACCCTCTAACTCTTTGATTTTCAAACAGCAAGAGGTTTGAGGGCTACACTCAGTAAGTGCACTTTTTCAAAAATTGCACGTCACCTGAAGGCTTTACAGAGCACCTCATGGCTTCACTCATGAAAGCACTCGGACTATGCATGATTTTACTCGGTAAGACCTGGAGGAACAAGAAGGCTTCCGAGTTTAACCATGACACGCTCGGGGGTTTCACGGACCACGGTCCTAGGGGTTCCCCATAGGGGTACTACTCGCTGGGCCCTAGGCTGGCCCACGATCTGTTGAAGGACACGAGACAAGGTGGCGTGGACTTCAAGCTATTCCAGATCAACTTAGTTGGCTTACTAAGAAAGCTAGATTCTGTAATAGGAATAGAACTCTTCTATTATAAACGACTAGGACTAGATACGTGCCCCTATCCTCTCTCCTATATAAAGAGAGGTACGGTGCACCCCTTATACCCTAACAATCATACCAATCAATCCAACGTAAAAGGCTACACGTCGACTGTACGTAAAAGGCTATTACTCGACAAGAGGGTCCGAATCAGTATAAAATCGTTCGTCTCTTTATGTTTACTGTCGAGTTCTGCGTATGCCGAAGCCCTTCCAACATCGTCCTGGACAAACCCGTGACAAGTTGCCGGTCATTGAACACCAACACAGTCCCCTATTCCAACTGCAGGCCTTTGATGGCAACATGTTTTGTTATACAGCCTATTCGTTTGGTCGTATTTGGCTTATAAGCGATGGCTTATCAGCCAACGAACAATATTTTTCTCTCACATCGAACCAGTCAACAGTACTTTCAGCCATAGTTTATAAGCCAAATAAGTCCAAACGAACAGGACGATAGTAGTGTATTCAGGCCTAATCAAAGGTTTTAGAAATCTTTACAGCTCATATATTATTAGAGTAAAATTATTACGCATATTAATTTAAAATGGAATTTCTTACCCAAAAAGCAGAAAGAAACTGAAACTGTGTATATCGCACGACAAACCTGAACCTGAATTTTTTGGCAAATAGAAACTTGCAGATCCATGGCCTCAACAGCAACAGTCCCCCATTCCAGCTGCAGGCCTTTGATGGCAACATGTTCTGTTAGTAATAGTGTATTCAGGCCTAATCGAAGGTTTTAGAAATCTTTACAGCTCGTATATTATTAGAGTGAAATTATTACGCACGTTAATTTAAAATGGAATTTCTTACCCAAAAAGCAAAAAGAAACTGAAATTGTGTATATCGCACAACAAACCTAAACCTGAAAATTTTGGCAAATAGAAACCTCCGGGTGTTTGAGGCATTTTATCCAACATATTTCGTGCGTGACCAGAGTGTCGTTCCAGCCTTGGGGTTTCAACTGCTTTGCAAAACAAGAAAACGATACGGAGGTAACCGACAGATCATAGACTGCTGAAATTTTTCTCCCACGCAAGAATCTAGGGCAATCAGAGGGAAGCGGGGCACGACTTGGGCTGAAAGCCGATGCCGGACACATCTCCTGCAGGCTGCAGCTCCGGCGTGAGGAGGATCTAACAACCCAGGCGCGCAAGAGGATGCCTCACCAGCGTTGCAGGCCGTCTTGCTAGTGGTTGCGTCCTAGTAGCCCACATTGCCGTGGTTGAAGGCCTGAAAGGGGTGCACCAGTGAGATCCACTTGTGTATACACTTTTATCCATGTTTATTGAAGTGAATTGAAATAGAACTTAGTTTAATTCTACACTAATCTATTTCAACACATGTAGATTGAGATGAATACATGCACGTCCAAACAAGGCCTAACAGAGTAGCAGCAAAATTTGGAATAGGCTCGAGGAGCCTGCCGGCCAGCTCCGAGCTCGGTTGCATGGTCGCGGCTGGGCTGGACTCCGGCTGAGTCCCTCTGCCGGCCTTCCAGCAGCGCGTGGCGAAGTTACCTCCATGGATTGGATGCATTCGACTCCACCATGGATCCACCGCTGCCGTTGAGAGGATGTGGAGATGCCGCCGGATCCATCGCGGGCTTGGGGCATGGTGGCCACTGATCCGGCATGGTGCAATAGTCCCCAAGTGACCGGTGGAGTGAGGGGCCATCGTTGAGGGAGATGGGATGCGCTGACTCATGGTCACCCCGAAAGAAGGGGGGCGGGCGTTGCTGGTGGGATCGAGGTGGGGAGGTACAAGCTGCCGCTGCCAAGGAGTAGGGGGGGTCGCCGCTGTTGGTGGTGTGGATGCGGCCACTGCCGTTGATGATGTTGGGGATTCTTTCTCGAACCACGGGAAGGAGCAGAGGTGGCGTGGCGTAACGCCTTTGGAGACGAAAGCCAGAAACATTGGCATGTTCCGGCGAGACGCGAGGGGCGGCGGCGGCGGGGAGAAAAGAGCGAAGTAAGGATGTCGAATTTTTTCTTCTTCATGTTGAAATAAACATTACATCAAGGAGTTACAAGTGAAATTTTTGAACGCGTGTACTGTAGACCACTGTTAAATGAGAGCGCAGATTGATTTCAAAAAAGGAAGAGGATGTTTTTGCAAAATAGTGGAGGCCACCCGTCCGTGCGCCGTGGCTCCGCGAGTGCACGGAGCGCTCTGGTGCGCCCAATCTGCGGTGGGTTTTAAGGAACCTGATTCTTTTCTTTGGTTGATTTGGCCTGGCTTGACCGAATTAGTATCTTTGATTTTGCAATTAAATAATATTAACTGGGAAAGGATTACGATCAATTTGCATACTTCCAATGAGCAATTGTCCTTCACTAAGGACCAATTGACCGATTGTATTTGTATATGAAAAACATTAATGGTCATTAGTTGCATGAGAATAGGATTTATGTCATTTACAATATGTATGATGCTTTAACTCGTCAAGCGGCGGTAAAGTATGAGACATCTTGATCTTCCCACTGTAAATAGCTCATCAGAGATCCTTTCCCATTTGGATATGTCAAAGGTAAACTTCACATCATCTTGCCAGCTTTTATATATGAATCAGTTTTAAGTTATCTCTACCTAATGGAAGATCAGACATCCAAGTTCCCACCAAGTAGTAATAAGAGCTTTAGGTGTAATCATCAGGTTTGTTCTTTACTCTTATTTAGTTGTTTTCGGCCTCGTTCCACAGTTCACAACCATAACGTACTTCGACCTCCCGTGTCATAGTCTTTGCAAAGTTCCGTTGAGGGAGTATAAACTCCTGAACGAGCCACCGAGGAAGTGCAACACTTGCAAAAACCAGCTAAGCTCACGGAAGAGTGCCTCCCTTTCGGCAACCTCCATTGAGGCCTTAAACGCCTTCACGAGTAGAGAGCTCGCTCCGTAACCAACCAACACCCAACCACCAGCGTTGCATGCAAGCCTTTGGTTCAGCAATGCCCGCCCCGCGCTCACATCTCCAACCACCTATCCACGCAGCCTGCCTTTTATACGCCTCTCGTGTTGGTGCATGCAATGCTGCTGGCTCTGACTGACGGGTAGAGGCGGTCAGGCGGCATGGACGTCGTCGTGGTAACCGGGAGCTCTGACCATCAGTGGCTGCGGAAGGGTAGCAGCGGCCACGTCGTTGCTCAACTGCTCGAGTCGCCGCTCCCAACGCCACGCCGCTCGTGCTGCGGGCGGTCGGCCGACACGCCTGCTGCGCGCCACGGCTGCGCGGACGCGTCCCCGCAGCGCGGGCACGTGCCGTTCAAGTGGGAGAGCACGCCGGGCGTGCCCAAGAGCGCAGCGGCCGCGGGGGGTGGCAAGGCGGAGCGGGAGGTACCACTGCCGAAGCCGCCGCCGGGGCGGTGCGGCACGTGCCACGCCGCGCGGGCGCGGGCGCGGGCCTACCACCACCACAACCACCACAGCAACACCACCGACTCGAGCAGCGACCAGCAGGACGACGGCGACACGTTCTCCGACGCGCTGGACAGGATCTCGTCCTCCGACAGGCTCGCCGCGCTCTCTGCGAGCCTGAGCGCCATCGACGGCGCCGTCTTCGGGTCACGCCGTTCGCCGAGCTTCATCATGGACCGCTTCCTCCCGGCCGCCAACGCCATCGCCACCACGTCCGCGGACAAGCACCCTAGGCGGCCGTCGCCGCGCCGCTCCAAGTCCAAGTCCAAGTCCAAGCGCGACAGGGAGGCCGAGGACGAGGCCGCGGCCAGAGCCAGGTTCGCGACGCGCATTCGGCGCCGCGCTCTCGCCTTCGAGCAGCCTAAACATCCCCCGCCGCATTGTCAGCGTGAGCACGCGGCGGCACAGGCACAAGCACAACTCCCGCCATGCGCCAAAGAGGAGGCGCAGGGCGAGCAGATGACCCCGAGGGCGTGCGGGTTCATGTTCTTCGTCCCCTGGAGCGCCAAGCCGGTGCTCCTCGGTTTCCAGCGGAGCCCGGCGCGTTCCCGGACGACGCCGCGGGGCGACGTCTCCTCTGTCACAACCGCGTCCTCTCCTCCGCGCCGGAGCGTCACGCTAGGCGACGTCCTGGAGAAGGACCGCAAGCTACGGGATGGCGGCCTGTCGCATTGGTACGACGAGAAGAGCGGCAGTGGCAAGGAGTGGGCGAACCCAGGGTGGGGCATGGCGCTCCTTGGTACGAGCAAGAGGTACTGCGCGGACGCGAGGAAGGCACTGAGCAGGTTGACTCTCTCTGGAATGGACAGCGGCGACAGCCCAAGGATCAGCAGGGAACGGAGCTGCAGCAAGCACAAGCAGGCCGCCTCGATGCCGCGCTCAACGTTGGTCAAGATGCCGCCGCTTTCGCCGCCGTCCGAGTCGTGGCTCAGCAATGCGGGAAGTAACAAAAGTTGATGGCGCTTGTGATCGACGTGAGAGCCCATTTGCACATACATAGGGATCTTTCGATAGTGATTTTTCCACTTTATATATGTCTTCAGTGTGATAATAATATGCGCAGTTGGATTTATTATAAGAAAGAAAAGACAAACCAGCGATTGCCATTTTAATAAATAGATCCAGGTTATCTATCTGTTTGAATAGGCTGAGCTGTTGAAACAAATCTTTTCCCAGTAGCAATGCTCACTTGCTGAGAACATATGCCCGTTTTTTAGCTTTGCTGTGGCTGGGGCTGTTTCAGTTATTAGCTACAGTACGTTCCAGTTGTTTACTGTTCACTGTAGAGGTTTTCTTATACAGGCTTCCTTTAGATTTCTTTGCTTTCAGTAGAACAAATAATGAAATAAATACTTGGATAAAAAAAGAATGAAAGAATTGTGTGCCCGGGCATACCTGTACAACTTATGCCCTGCCTAAATACTTTACATGCTTTTAGATTTCTTTGCTTTCCATAGAACAAATAATGAAATGAATACTTGGTTAAAACCAAAAAAAAAAAAGAATGAAAGAATTGTGTGCCCGGGCATACCTCACAACTTATGCCCTGCCCAAAAATACTAACTGTACACAGGAGAGCTGTGTATCTTGTATTAAAAAGGTAAACTGTACAATTTCCTACGCTTCTCATAGCAGATGGACAGAGCTGTAGAGTCTGGGCAAGTCAGTTGCACAATGGACAGGCTTCATGATGTTATGATTTCAAGTTCAGCCCACCAAAGCGCGCTGTTCCTCGGAATCGCCTGATCTTGAGTCATCCCAGTGATTTCTTGCATCCTCTTGGTGACCTCTGCCATTGTTGGCGTCTGCCTTCGGTCCTCGCTTAGGCATAACCGAATCAGCTCTGATAATGCACTGGCATGCTCCTCAGGCACTGAATTTAGTGTCGGGTCAACCATACCCATCACCGGGCTAGCGCCGGTGAGATATCTGTGTGCCCATAGAACAAGGAGGCCATCATCGTCAGAATGGGCGCGTTTGGTTGGCCGCATATGACTGGGCCAGGCTACCGAGATGCAAGGAACATGCGTTTGGATGCCTGCATCTCCCCTTGGGCCAGGCCCGACTCATGCAATCAACCGCCGCCGGCCAGGCTCCCGGGAAACGCAATCGGAAGTCGTTTCTCCGGAGCCAGTCTACCGCGGCACGCGCGCCTGGGGTGACGAGGCGCTTCCATGTGGTCCCCACGCTGTATTGTCTGTCAACCAAACAACTTCTTCCTGGATCTTGTATCTGTACACCCAAACAACCAAACACCGATACCTGTATCTCCAGAGCCTGGCCACCGGTAGCCTGCATGCCGGATGCGATGCAGGCAGCCAAGAGAAGGCAACCAAACGCGCCCAATATGGACGCCTTCCAGAGATAGTCTCAAGCACTAGCAAAGCAAACTTATACACTGTGCTGTATTCATCGTGAGCATCGTATTCATCTTCTTCTTTCTTGGCAACGCCATAGCTGATGTCGGCAACCTTTGCAGCATCATCTTCAGTCAACTATATGCATGAACTGTTTAAGTTCCTTAGGGTTACAGGAGTGTTCTGCTGGTGCATGTAATCCAGACAGTATAGTACTCCCATAGCTATCCGTAGGCGTGATTGCCAATTCAGGTGCTCCGCTTCTTTAACTGCAACAACAATGTTTTGATGGTAATTAGAATTTGTAAACCTGCTAATATGAATTTCCTGTCACAACTGCTAATATCATGAGCGGGCCCCGTTCGGCTTGCTGAAACTTGACTGAAACTGGCTGAAAAATACTGTTCTGGCTGAATTGTTGTGAGAGAAAAACTGGCTGAAAAACACTGTTCTGGCTGATTTGTTGTGAGAGAAAAACACTGTTCTGGCTAAAAAAATAAGCTGAATAATGCGGATTATAAGGTAAGCCGAACGGGGCTTGTGTGAAGACGGTTAATAACAGATAACAAGGCTTTTGCAGCTTTGCAGTACCCCACAACATACCCCTTAAAAGAAAGGTAACCCGCAATAAAAACTCACCATGCAAGCGCTCAAATAGTGATCCATTTGAAGCATACTCGAACACCATCATCCGAACGAATTGTTTTTCGTCTTCATAATAACCCACGAGGTTCAAAAGATTCTTATGGTTTACCTTTGACAAGGCTCCAACCTAGAAATGCAAAGAATAACCGTGCTCAAAACCCAATATCTGAAGTTTGGAAAAGAAATGGAACAGAAAAACCAACTACATGCCTCATTCATGTAATGTGCTTCAGCTATAGCGGACCAACCTCCTGCATACGCCACCGTTGTAGACACCACAGCTATTTCCGCTCCACATGGAAGCAAACGTCGAGGTGCTTGATGCGCTGTTCCCAGCATCCAGGGCGATGGCTGGTGGAGCAGCGCGGTCTGGTACTTTAACTAGATCATAGTCTAGGTTGATCTCAATGGATACCAAGGCTGTCATAGTCAAAATGTAGTCCCTTTGAGGTAACCATCGGGCCGGGAACGGTCTCTATTGTATTTCAAACTTCTACCTTCTTAATACAATGATACGCAATGCTCTTGCGTATTCGAGAAAAAAATACAGTGTACATCCAGGTAGTGTGCCAATTATGTTGCTGAAACCTTCACAGGCTGTTTCGAGCTCGGATCGTCTGAATAAAGTTATCCCTGCATAAACAGGGGTTAGAAGAGGACCATAGGTTCTGTTTGTGCATTGAAGCAAGCAGTATTGCAGCGTACACCTTGAGCATATGCAAACTACAGGAATGCAAAGCACTACAGCAAAGTGAGCATTGAACAAATATGCATAGCAAAATATTAGCACATCAAGCAAACCTTCCATGGTAGTGGTCTGTAATTGCCTGCTTGAACTGTTTGCAGACAAGGGTACAACGGTGCTAGTCTTCTTGCGGCAGCAGTAAAAGAAACATAGTGCTGAAGAGGCCGCCACCAAAAAAACAATAACTGCTCCAATCGATGCATATATTGTTACAGAACTTTTGTTCTTGTTCTCTTGGCTTGGTGGTGCAGGAGGGGGTGGAATGGGTTCAGAAGGAGATGGTGCTGCTGGAGAATTCCACGGAAAACCCATGTCGTTGGGTGATCTTATTGGATCCGTAATATTGATCATTTCAAAATCTTTTCGTTTGCTCACTAACAGTCTTCTGATTTTGATTGTAGCAATCCTTGTGGTAGGGATAGGTACTTGATTTTCAGGTTCACATATCCTAGTGAGCTGTTGTACTCCACCTGGTGAACACCCAGAAAGGCTGTTACCTTTAAGAAATCTGCACCTCCAAAACGAAATCAATGTCAGGTAGTGAAAGTTAATCTGAGAGAAACACTTGTTAGGTGAAGATCTCACTCACAGAAATTCTAGGGATAATATGTTTTGTAGCTCTGATGGAATTGGTCCACTGAAATTATCATATCCCAGATCCAACATCTTTAGATCCTGTAGGTCTCCTATTTCTCTAGGTATGATACCATAGAACGAGTTGTTGTGCAGAATTCTGTACGGAAAAACAAAATAAAATCAGGATACAAAGTAATTGGGAATTCTTCCAAAAAAAAGGCAAATACAAAACTGCAGATATAAATCTGTACAAATAAGATGTTTTGATTCAACACTATTCCTCAGATGGAGTTTGGACACCAGCTAATGACAGGAAGTTCTTTTAAGCATCAATTTTGCAAATCAGAGGCTTGATGTAGTGAAGAACAAGACTAGCCATGGTTTTTTATTTAAAAAGTCATCCAAGAAAAGATTAAGTAAGTTGTTTTTGGTATGGCAACAGCTTATCTTTCCTCCCCCCCCCCCCCCACACCCCACCCAAATCCATTTTAAGGTCCCCATTTGTCTTAAGTTTCAACCAATGTTCTAAATCTCCGGCTATAGCTGTTTAGGGATAATTTACCTATTTTTTCAATGTACAATTTAGCTGATAACTGCAGAGCCGACTATTTGTTGTTTCTGGAGGTAGTTCGCTAAATATCTTAGCTGGCGATTAGCCCGCTATAGCCGGCTATTTGCTGTTTCTAGAGGTAGATCGCTAATGGTCTTTGCCAGCGATTTAAAACACTGGTCTTAACTAAGCTCTTCTAAGTTCATTACAGTAAGCACATCAAAAGAAACATCTGTGTTGTGTCTGACTAGATACTCAGAAACAAAAACCAAAATGCTAGATGAAATTCCTGAATTGACAACTGAAAAAGTGAAAATGCTTAAGGTCTTGAGCACATCAAAATTCAGAACTTGCATACTTTTTAAAGTTTCTGAGTCAATGTGTATGAACAAAAACAAAGCACGTCTGAAAGAAGTACAGAATGTGTTTACAGAGATTTCATATGCATAAGCTTTCCAAGCTCTGGAGATAAAACACCCTTTAGACCAAGATTTGCTAAGCTCCTGCATAATTCCATACTCAAATTTAGGGGCACACATCAGAATAGGCATGATCAATCAGAAGTATGTGTAACACCCTAAAAATTGCTCTTTTGAAATAGGGTTAAAAAGATTTAATTATTGCATTTTGTGCCATGAAATATAGAAAAAATAATATTTTTCATTAAATTAAAAATTCATTCTAAGGTTTAGAAACATGGTTGTGCATACATGCTGGTGCATTTGTATTTTTGTAATGAGTGGTTTGATCCAAATTCAAATTTATTTAAAATAGTTTTGAAAAAAGAAAGAAAGAAGGACTATTCCTCCTCCCTCTCTTCGGGCCTAGCTCGGCCTAGTTTTCTTTTTCCACGGCCCAGCAGCTGCTCGGCCCGTCTCCCCGCACTAGCCCAGCTTCAATACCACTTGTAGGGTCGAGATGGCGACTAGAGGAGGGTGAATAGTCGTTTCTAAAACTTAATCGCGCCGGCTAACCGAAATAAATGTGGAATTAAAACAATCAGTCTAGCCAAGACTACACCCCTCTATCGAAGTTCACAAACACCTTATAAAAATCCTAATTAAGCAATTAAGGTGCCGGGCTAGGTAGAGCTCACCTAAACAATTTTAGAAGTAAGGTCACACAAACCTATGCCACTAGTACTTTACACACGGGGAAGCTCCTACACAATTCTAGTAAGCAAAAGCACAAAGCTCCTAAGCTCACTAGCAATGCTCAATAACAAGGCAACCAATGCCAAATTAAAGAGTGCAAATTACTTAGCTACACAAACTAAGCGATGTGACTAACAAGGTTACACAAACCAAATTAGCCACGCAAGGAAGCTACTTCTTATGCTACACAAGTAAGAAGGTAACTAGTGAGCTACACAAGCTAACTAATTATAAGAGCAACTACACAAGCACAATGTATGTAAAAGTAATTACAAGCTTGTGTAAGGGGAATGTAAACCAACGGAAAGAATAAAGTTGACACGGTGATTTTTCTCTCGAGATTCACATGCTTGCCAACACGCTAGTCTCCGTTGTGTCGACCGCTCACTTGGAGGTTCGACGGCGAATTGGCATCACCCGCCAAGCCCATACATCGGGCACCGCAAGAACCTACCCCGAAAGTGAGGGTAGCTCAATGACACGCTCTACTAGAGTTGCTCTTTGTGGCTCCCGCGGGGCGAGCACAATGCCCCTCACAAAGCTCTTCTCCGGAGCCCCGCACAAGCTTCTTGCGGGCTTCGATGGAGACCACCACCAAACTGTCTAGGAGGTGGCAACCTCCAAGAGTAACAAGCACCACCGGCTTATAACTCGATCACCTAGTGTCACTCGATGCTACATCACGATGCAATCGCACTATAATTGCTCACTCAATCGGATGAACACTATCAAGCTACAGTGAGTTAGGGGGCTCCCAAGCACTACCACACAAGCCGCCAAGGCTCTAGTGTGCTCAGCTACCAGCCCAAGGCCGAGACCCCTTCTATTTATAGCCCCGACGAAAATAGAGCCATTATACCCTTTCACTGGGCACAGCTCGAGGTGACCGGACGCTCCGGTCAGATCGACCAGAAGCACCCTGCCAGCGTCCGGTCAACGGATGCACGCCACATGTCACCTCCGTTCAACCTCACTCGCTTGATCTCAACGGTCAAGTGATGATCGGACACAGTACAGTGCCAAGACCGGACGCACCTCTGTCGAATCCGGTCGTTTCCAGAGAGATTCCATACACGACCGGACGCACCACTGCTGCACGACCGGACGCTGACCAACCAGAGTTCGGTCGTTTCCAGAGAGCTCCCCGAGCCTCTGTTTTTGCGACCGGACGTGTCCGGTCGATCACGATCGGACGCAACATCAGCGTTCGGTCCTTCTCCTCTTCTCTGCATCGCCACGTCAGCGGAACCAGACGCACCCACCCAGCGTCCGGTCACGATGTGACCCAGAGTCTGGTCGAAGATCGACGCCTACTCCTTCACTCGCTCTTCGACGGGCGTAGGACCCGGCGTCCGATCAACTGCGTGACCAGCGTTCGGTGCACTCTGTGAAACCCTATCTTTTCTGTACAGGGCCCCGGTGAAGTTTCAAACCCTTGCTCCCAAGTGCTAAACACAATGTGTATCACCTTTGTGCATGTGTGTTAGCATATTTTCACAAACGTTTTCAAGGGTGTTAGCACTCCAAAGGATTAGCCACTCAACTTGCCACGCCACTCGATCCTAGCGACGATGCAAAGTTAGATCACTCAAATGGCACTAGATGACCGATATGGAAATAAGTTTGCCCATCTTGATAGCATGGCCATCTATCTTAAACCCGATCATCAACTTCTCTACACACCTATGACCGGTGAAATGAAATGTCCTAGGTTATACCTTTGCCATGCACATTCTATTCAATCTCCTCAAATGTCGATGCAACACATGCACCAACACGATCAATAATGATATGATCCACTTCATATCATCATGTGATCATATTGGTTCAACGATCTTGACTTCACTTTCTTTTCACCGTTGCCTTCGTCCATCGACGCCAAGTCTTGCTCAAGCTTCACCGCCACGTGGTCCATCGCTCCAAAGCCTCCGACTTGCCCTTCACGCTTGTAATCGGTCCATCAAGCCAAGTCATGTCTTGATCTTCTCCACCTTGATCACATGACTCAATGTCATGTCTCATGTTCAATGAGCTCCATCATCACATATGTGAGCTTTGCAACATCTCCGAGCCATTTTCACCTTCATGGCATATGTTGCTCACACTCATGTACCTATGGACTAATCACATGTGTATCTCACATAAACACAATTAGTCCACCTATGTTGTCACTCAATTACCAAAACCACACAAGGACCTTTCAATCTTCCTATTTTTGGTAATTGATGACAACTCTACAAAGATATAGAAATTAAGTTTTTTTGGATTCATGTTGCTTGCTCAAGCAATTTTACCATGTGTAATAATTTTGAACAAATACCACAAACCCGAAATGGTAGTATTAGCTCCTCCTACATATGTGCTATAGTGTTTGGTTTGAAGCTCGCACATATACATATATTGAAATTGTGGGAGAGTAATTACTACCAAATGATGCTAAGGTGTATAGAGTAAACCTTTGAAGCGTGATACCTATCAGAGTTGCACCTTTAAGTTCATCCTTAGCACCATGGTTAGCTAGATATCACTTTGGAAATAAAATCACTAGATACCTTGTGAGATCAACATTAAAAGTAAGGTACTAGCATTACTTGAAAAGCATATCAAGTGTCTAGTTATCATCCTATGCATGCTAGTTTTCATTTCATCAATCAAATTCTACAACTAGCATACACCACACAAGCACGCATATTGAATTTAAAAGCTTATGCAATGCAAACAAGCACATGAATATGCACATATCAAATGCAATCAATCAAAATCAATCAAAGTTCATGAGCTTGCTCCCCCTACTTATATGCTTCTCTTGTCCAAGAATTTTGATCCATCTCTTTTCTTCAATGTTGCTCCCTCTTTGTCCATGTCCATGTCTAATCTCTACTTCTTTGTCTCAATCTCTCCCAAAGCTTTCATATCTTTGTACAATCTCTCCCCCTTTGTCATCAATTTCCATAAAAGATATGCTTCTTATTGATGCAAATGTTTGCATTTTGGGGTAAATGGTTGAGTCTTGAATCTTGCATTTTTTATGGACATCACTTGATTGTTGGAATGACACCACTTGTAGCCCTTGTAGATACCACTTGTAGGGCTTCTTGAGATACCACACATAGGATCTTTGACCTTGATACCAATTTGTGGGACACCTCTCCCTATGTGATAGCATGGGTCATTCATTTGATACACTTGAGCTCTTGTAAGTGATGGATGCATTCTTCATTTGATGATCACTTAAAGTTGAGGATCACTTGTGGAACCATCATCTTGCATGATTGATACCACGTGTAGATGTGAAACCACTTGAAAGAATTTTCTAGTATGGAACCACTTGTTCGATTTTTCAATTTTGACCATTTCTTGAACATTTGCTATCATCATGAGTACCACTTATAGGATATCACTTGTGAGTTGATCTAAACACCACTTATGAATTCTTGATGAAATACTAGAGTCTAGATATCACTTGAAACAAACAAACTAGATATCCATTTGTATTTTTGTCTTGTGCTTGTACTCTTATCATTATCATGAGCTTCTATGGTTGACTTAAACTAAATTGATTTGCCTAAGCTTCCAAGTCCGGTTTGAATCGATGACAAGCTTCTTCACACCTCTTACAAGGGTTATTTTGTCAATGTTGTACTTGTCACTTGTTAGCAATCCAAATTAAATCAAGTACTTGGGTTCACTAGTTCATGAACAAATTCATAAACTAACCACTAGATCAACTAATCATTCAAGCAATAGTGGTAGGCTATGAATTTAAGCATTTCATTTGTTATGCATGATTCTATAAAGCATGTACTATATGCACTAATCGCATACTACTAAGGGATGAAATGATCATGCATATTACAATGATATCTTTGCTATGTTGGAGTAGAGGATAGTCACATAGATTCCAATTCATTACTCCAATAGCAATGTGAAGTCCAATTATAAACTTAGTGAAGACCAATAGATACCATTTTGAATTCTATTCTTTACCCATATGAAATGAATACCACTTATGATCAAGTGCACTTTCTTGTTGTGGTTGACTTGCTTCATCATTTCATCTTTGCTTGCATGCGAGCATCAATGTAAGGATACCACTAGAAATATCATGACTATCTCTCTTTTTGGGTGTTGCTTGCTTTTCTTGATTAATCCTTTTGATTGCTTCAACTAAGCATCTCAAATGTCTCTTGGATCACCACTTCTATGTTAGCCTTCCAAGTACCACACTTGGTTTACCTACACATAGGCAGCAAGCCTCTACACTAGAGAGAAGTGACCTCTCTCCAAGAACCATTCTTGACACTCACTTGAAATAACTTGATTGATTGATCCAAGTGATGGACTTAACTTGATGAGTAACCTTGATTCCTGTGGACTAATCACCTGTGTATCTCACATAAATACAATTAGTCCATCTAGGTTGTCACTCAATTACCAAAACCACACAAGGACCTTTCACCTGGCATCTGGCCCAATCCCGCACCCACTTCTACAGCCGGCATGTTTTTCTTCTCCTCACCCCATGACCCAAGCCGCGCAGGCCAGATCCCTCCTTCACCGCCTACCAGCTTCCTCATTTCGGCCCAGTCAGCCCAACACCACGCCGCTCCGCTCTTCCCCTCTCCTCGTGCGTCTCGCTAACAGCTAGTTCCGCGCTGTCAGGCATCATCTCCTTCCTCCGACTCGGCACCGCACCAAACTCCGCCGCGTCGCCTGACTCCGCGTCCTCCATGCCTCGACCTTGTCTTGCTCCCCAAGCTACTCCCGGCCATAAATATTGGGTGCCCGCATCATGTCACTTCCATCCCGAGCCTCGGAGCCGCAGCCGCCTCACCAAGTCGCAGAATCACAGCGCGCCGAGCCGCGAGCACTAGCACCGCCGTAGCCAACGTGTTCGTCGAGCTGTGCATCGCTTCCGTGCCTCCATCGTCGGCAAAAATAACCTTGGTGAGTTCGCGTTGCCTTCCTCTCTCCTTTTGGTGCCCTCGCCTTGTGCTGTTGTGACCCGTAGGCCTAGATCCCACTACGCCGGTGAGCTCGCTCGTTCCAGCCATGGCACCGCCGCTGTCTGCGTTGTCGTCGGCAGCCGTTCCCTCCCGATCTTATCTGTGCCATCCAAGTTAGATCCAACGGCCGTGATCGCACCGTACTAGTTCGGCCGGTAATCTTACAAAAGAGACCCTCTATTTTTCACAAATCAACCCGTCGTCCCTGCACTTTTGCTAAAGAGCCCCTGCCCTTTTCTAGTATAGAACCCGCAGTCCATAGCATATTTCCAAAATACGTCTTTTTCTTTGGAAAGTGTAGTCTCCTTCGATTAGGTCTAAAATACGCCTTCAGCTAATTACAATTTTGCCATTAATCTTGTTTTAGCCATAAAATCTTCGTTTTAACTCCGATTTGATCTGTTCAAGTTGCGTTAGATTCATAATTGCGTAATCTACATGTTCATCCTACTGTTAAACATGTTTTCAACTTTTGAAATTCAAGATTAGATTTAATCTATTATTTTTTCGTTATAGCTCCGATTAGAGTGCTTTTCACGCCTGTGTGATCGTAGTAACGTGTAGAACATCTTTAAAACATTTTTACTTGATGTTTATTATGTTTGATGTACTGTTCTAATTTAGTTCTATTGTTTGCTTCGTGTATGATTGCATGGATGCTTGTGTGGAGTTTTATGATCATGTCCAGTCGATGAGCTTTGCGTTGGTGATATAAAAGAAGTTGGTGATCCATAATAAGTTTTTTGGAGGTTACAATTCAATAGAAGAAGGATCTGAGTTTAAGGCAAGTATAGCATGGGATCATTCTTATTGTCCTATTCACCTTAATAATTTAATTCATGCTGCAAGTCTCTACCTTGACTACCACTAAGGATTTTCTAGTACTTTGTTACCTTTTACCTTGATTCCTATGAGATATTGCATTGGGAAGTATGATGCTAATGCTCAATTACAAACATGATCTTCTAACTTGACTAATGAAATATGCAATAAACATTAAAAGATGCTTTTTAGCAACATGAAATCAAGGGGGCTAGAGCATTGGGCTATTATTATGGTGCTCTAGATTCCTCTCCTTAAGGACTTATCTGTAAGCGAACATCTGGGACTTACAGTACAGCTGTGAGGACTACATGGTTCTGGCTTTAGCTCAGTACGAGGATATTTTCTAACTTGTTAGAGGTTACCTTTATGGCGTAAGAATGACTTGTCGAATCGGGTATAGTGCGGTCTCTGTCCCCTTGTGTATAGGCTGCGCGTTATTGTGTCATCGGGAATGGGGGCTCTACATCTGTTTGCCGAGTGAATCTAATGGCCCTAACTTGTTAGACAAACCTTTGAAAGGCTTCATAGTGAACCCTGCTGACCTTCGTTGGTAGTGGATCAGGAGGTTGGCCGCCTCGGGCGAAAGGGTAAATCACGACTTACAGTAAAAGTGTACAACCTCTGCAAAGTGTAAAATTGATATATCAGCCGTGCTCACGGTCACGAGCGGCCTGGGACCCTTACGGAATAGATGATGAACACTGATGATAAAGATGCTCACTAATGATTATTGTTTATGCTATTCATTATTCATGTTTACCTGATCATGTGTTTATATAGACTTGTGAATAAACTTGTTGCCACCCAATTGCTAAAAGATGACTCATTAAAAGTTAATCGTAGTTAAACCAGTGTCAACCTTTTGAGCCTCATGAACCCCATGTTATATTTGTTAAGTAGGACATGTACTTACGCTTGCTTTACTTTTTAAATCTTTGGATAAAAATCCCGGATGGGTACCAGATTGTTAGAGTTTGGAGGAATTAGGTTTGTGATCAACCAGTCAGTTGTCACTGTGGAATTAGAGTCTTCACCCGAGGATCGGAGTTGTCTTTCCGTTATTTGCTATCGAAAGTTATATTCTTTATACTAAGTACGTTATATATTGAGCATTGTCTTTCGATATTATCCTTATGTGTAGCTGTATGTGAGATTTGACTTCCTGGGCTCACATATGGTGTGTATCTGGTTTGGTTGTTTAAACCCGGGTGCTACAAGTAGACACACAGTGCTATGCTCTAATTCAAAAATAAAATAATCACTGCTACTTCAACTGTAGAAAACAGGAACGCGTAAGAATTATGTACAATCCTTAACAGCATGTGCACACATAATGTTACAGCAGAACCAAGCATGCATCACTCAAAAAGATACCTAATTCTTGAAATAACAGTTAAGCTTAATATGATGCGGATCCAATATTATACTCCTTGAAAGCAAGTGGAGGATCAACAAAACTTTGCCAAAAAAAAACACTTGACAGATGAACTTATGAAGGATCCTTCTTATCAGGATGATCATTAAATTGCCCATCCAAAAACAGATCGGCACAGGAAATGACAGTCTTGGTTATTCCCTCTACATAAACATAACTTGCCATTTAAACAGGTGAATTGAAGGTTGCTCTTTTTGACATTACAGGAACTAGTTCCAATTTAAGGGATGCGGTGTACACTGACACCTCCCACCAACTAAGGGTTTATCTGGATGCACTCGTATTTAGCTCAATCGACATGTGGCGGGGGTGGACTGAAGTCTAACTAAGTTTGATTTCCACTTCAATCCACACGAACATAGATGGATTGAGACTCCGATCCACACCAACACATCTAGATTGAGGTGTGATACGAGTGCAGCCAAGCACTAAGTTATGGTCCCCAACCCCAACATCACAGATTGTTTTATATAGTTCACTAATATATGCACAAATGAGTTTTGTTGTGTACTTATTATCTTTTGCTACGCAAAACAGAACTACTTACAGGGCCATGACTAGTCCATCATCGGAGCACTCCACACCAAACCAAGAACAGGGCTTCAAACTCTCTTCATCCCAGTCCAACAAAGCACCATATGGGTCCGCATCGATCGCTGCCTTAAATCTCAGCAGAGCAGCACCTGCAATTCAGCACAGAAACGACCCTAAACAGAGTCAAAAACAAAACGTCGAGCGAGAACCATCCACGCAAGCGATTCAAAGCACAACACGACACCTTCATGATTCAGGGATGCGCACTGCTCAAATGCCAACAAGAACCAGAAGAAAAACCATACCCCCAGAACTCTCCTCCGACAGGTCCCCATGCCTCGAAACAACTTCTGCAAGAACACAACCCTAAAGAAACGAAGCACCAAAACCCGCTGCGCCAAAACCCGCTGCGCTAGCGCCTCCGCCCTTGATGGATTCAATAAGAACAAGCCGCGTGGTTTGCCTTCGGCGGCCAGAAAGGAGAAGCGGATCAAGGAAGAAGCCAACAGGCCAGACTAAAACAAAATTCACAATAGCCGCCACCGCCAAGAACGAGTCAATGAGCGGGCAACTACCCAATCCGCTCCCTCCGAGAAGAAAATTGATCCGGTGCTTGTCTTTAGTGGAAAATGGAGACCAGGACTACTAGTAGCAGACAAGAAAAGGAGAGGAGGCAAGAACAAGGGGATTGTGAAATACAGGTGGGTAGTGGAACGGGACGCGGTGTCCGACGTCACGTGTAGGCGCACGCGGCACACGAAAGTGTGCGGAAACGCAAGTCGATTGCGGGGAAAGGGCGGGTTCAGCTTTCATCAGTTGATCAATTCCTTTCGCTCTAAAGAATCAAAACTACTGTATATGCACATTATACAATTGGAGTGGTCGAGTCCAGAATATATATATCGTATTCCCACTCGTGTATAGTTGGATTGGTCAGTTCGTTCTACCAAATTGTACTTACTCGAGACTTTGGCAATGGTTGTTGAATAGCGACCGGGGGATGTTGCGCGCGGGAAGCGACGTATTCCTCAGGTGTGATTCCTCTCGTTTTTTTTTGTGTGCATGGGTTTTTTTTGGATTCTTTTTCAAAGTTGTTATCATGCCCAAACCACTACTATCTACATATTCCTAGGCAAACCCATTGTTTAGGTACACGAATTATAAATTACTCTCTTCGTTTTAAATTATAGTTTAATTTAATTTTGTCCTAAATAAAGCTTATGTAATTTTGACGAAGTTCTTAGAAAAATATATTAACATCTATAAATTCAAATAAATACAATATGATAACATATTCAATGGAGAATTTAACGAAACTAACTTGATATTTGAGACATCGGTGCATTTTTTTTAAAAAAAAACTTGCTTAAAGTTATAGAAGTTTGAGTTAAAACAAAGCTAAAGTGGACTAAAACCTTAATCCCAGAAAGAACATAATTATAGAATAGTGTTGAGTCAAACTCTCTTAAGTTTTGACCAAATTTGTAAAAAGCCAATATATTTATCATAGTGAATATGTTTCATTATATTTGTCCTAAAATATATTTTAATAGCATACCTATTTGAGACTATAAAAGTCAATGTTATTTTTCATAAATTTAGATAAAATTAAGAGGGGTTGGCCGACCCTACGTGGAATTGCCTGAAGTGATCCAAACTCCTTTGCCATTTATCTTTAGTTGGCGAGTTGATCTATGACCCATATAAAGTGTGGTAAGTGAGTTGAAGTGTGTTTGTTCTGTTGGATGGGCTTGCAGATCCTTTGTGCTCTCCACTTGGTTTCATTTCATCCCTTGGATGTAAACCGATGTTGAACCATCATGTGTGATGACTTCTAGTTATGTTTCCTTAGATGTAGTGAAATAGTGGGGTTGGATGGGCTAGGGTTGGGTCGGCCGACCTAGAGCCAGGTCGCCCAACCTCCGCTCATCTTTCACTTATTTGTTCCTACGCTCACATAGTTACCAAAACTTATGGAGTTGATTAGAAATATAAGCCCCATGCCTATGGTGGATATCATTCATATCCTCAAATCAAGCACGAGTTGATGGCTTAAAATGATGAGTAAGTGACCATCAACAGCCTTACACATGCCACTGGCAACCCCAACACCTGCACCAGTTGCGGAGTTCGTGTCACCCCATTGGGTGATTCGGACCTCGACAACGAGCATAATGGCAAGGCCCCGCTCTCATTCTAGACACTCTAGAACGCCCTGGGACCAGTGGTGAACCTGCCATGTTCGAGGAGGCGCGTGGCAAAGGAGAACTGGTGCAAAGCGATGATGGAGGAGATGACGTCGTTCGAGCAGAACAACATATGGATGCTTGTCGACCTGCCTCTAGGCCATCATCCAATTTGCTTGAAGTGGGTCTTCAAGCTGAAGCATGACAAATAAGGGACCATTGTTAAGCACAAAACTAAGCTTGTGGCGAAGGGCTACGTCCAAGAGTAGGGGATCGACTACAATGAGGTATCCACACTTGTTGCTCGAATGAAGTCCATTTAGATGTTGCTCACTGTGGCGGCTCATGAGGCTGGCTTTGTGGATGTCAAGTCAACGTTCCTTAGTGACGAGCTAAGCGAGGAGGTGTGTACGTCCTGCAGCCACCGGGTTTCATCGTAGCTAGGCACGAGGAGAAGGTCTTGAGGTTGCAAAAGGCTTTGTATGGGTTTGGTCAAGCATCAAGGGCATAGAACGTGAAGCTTGACAACATCCTTCGACGAGCTCGGTTTCACTCGGTGCACTAGTGAGCATGACATGTACACAAGGGGCATCACGACTCACTGTGTGGTGGTGGGCGTCTATGTACATAGATGACCTCATCATCACCAATGCAAGCTCGGCGGGCATCGTTGAGTTCAAGGGGGAGATGTGCTGATTGTTCTGCATGAGCGATCTAGACTTGCTCTCATTCTACCTCGGGATTGATGTGAGACAGAGCCAGAATGTTGTCATGTTGGGACAGGCGGCGTACACAGGGAAGCTATTAGAGAAGGTAGCCCTACCAGGTTGCAACCCTTTGCTAGATACCGATGGATGTGTGGCTAAAGCTGTCAACCAAGAGCACCACATCGGAGGTGGATGGGATGATGTATCACAGCCTGGTCGACAGTTTATGCTACTTGGGCACACGAGGCTGGATATCGCGTTCGTTGTGGGGTACATGAGCAGGTTCATGGAGAAGCCTTGGTAGGAGCACCTCATTACTGCCAAACTTCTCTCGTAATACATCTTTGGCACGATCGACTATGAAATCCTCTACTTCAAGCGTTCGAACAATGACAACAGGCTGACGAGCTATAATGACAGCGACAGAGGAGATGTGGATGAGAGGAAGAACACCTAGGGGTAGGGGATCATGTCTTCCTCAGTGAGCGAGCAGAAAGTGGTGGCACTCTCCTTATGTGAAGCGATGTACATCGCGGGCGCACTAACGACATGTCAGGTGGTATGGCTTACTCAGCTACCAGGCAACATGATCGGCACCAAGGCCTAGCTGCAGCAATTGAAGATGGACAACATGTCTACGATCGCACTAAGAATCATGTTCTCCATGACAAATAAAAGTAAGCACATTGACACCAAATTTCATTTGATCTATGAATGCGTGGGCAGAGGGAGGATAGATGTCCTGACGAAGTCACTAGGACGTGTTCAGTTCTGTGAACTGCGAGAGAAGATTGGCGTCGTCAAATTCAAGTGAACCGAGAGATTATCATTGGATAATCCTAGTTCGATCGGTTTGGCTCTTGATCAATCTGTCAACTTATTCAATAATGTGAGCTTGCTCTTAGCCAAATCAGGCGCGTTATGTAAGGCCCGACGCATGCCTCGGGTTCATGCGGTGGTTCTCCTTTCTTTTCTCTTGGTCGTGGTAGTGTCTGAGGCACACGAGTGTCGCTTAGTCGCCGGGGATAGCGCGGCTGTTCCGAGAGGCATGGCATGAAGAGCGTCGTGGTGACCGTGGCCACAAATTGTAATGCAGTCGAGTTGTATATAACGGGATAGAGTCCATAAAGCATTGTGGTTTATTGCAGCACCAAAATCCATCGCGTGTGTGTTCCTTGTGTACATTGAAGGCGATCTTCATCGACTCTGGATTCAGCCGTCTCCTCCTCCCTCGCGTGTTAGAAATGGAGATGACGAGCAAAGCGATGGCTTCAGGTCTCCTCGTTTTGCTGCTTCTCATGAACATAGGTAAGCAGCTGCATGTCATCTTTGCGGAAATGTTTCATCAAATGGCACAAAGCTGTTAGTAAGTAGTACTCCATCCGTCCCTAAATAACTATCGTTGTTGATGTATGTGCCGCAAGTTTGACTCGATTTGTAGAAAATGCGTGCAACATTTGTATCTTCAAATAAATTTATTAAAAAACTAGATTCAAAAATCTTTCCAATGATACTAATTATGTATCATAAATATTAATATTTTTTAATATATATTTAGTTAAAGTTGTTTCTCCGAAAACGAAAATAACAGGTATTTAGGTATAGAGGGAGTATTTGTTTGTGCGTGCCTGTCCCTGAATCATATGAATCTCTGCAGGCTTTGTCCTACCTGTCCGTTCGGACGATTGTTGGAGCGAGACCAGTGACATTTGCACGAAGACGCACAATTGCCGAAGCACATGCCAGGGGCGTGGCCAGGCTGACGGGAAGTGCAAGTGGGAGTTCCCCGACCTGGTGCCCTTTTGCTATTGCCTACGCCCCAATTGCTCTCCCTAGGGGCTTGTTCAGTTCCTGGATCCACTGGAACAATTCCTACCCGGATTGTTAGCCTAATTTATATAACCTTTTGATCAGCTGGAACTATTCCTGGTGCAATCCGGAAAACCGAACAGCCCCTAGTCCGTGTGCTTCGGATTGGTTCACCAGCAATGGGGAAACGAGTAACAGTGGTAGATTGGTAGTGGCCAGTATGTTCCATGCATTGTTTTAGGAAAAATAACCGGCCAACATTTAGGTATAGTAAAAGAAATTTTACATGTATTTTTTTAAGGATTTGTTATGATACTCCCAAATAACTATGAATTGATGATCTAAACATCTTTTACTACATGTATATTACCTTATAGGAGGTAAAAGGAGAATACACAATATTTATATATTTCTTAGTACTTTAGAAAATAGGCAAAATATCTTCTGATTGAAACGGTTAGCTCCAATGTGATCGATAATGACCGATTCATGCATAAGTATATCTATTGATTACATGTAACTATAAGGTCCTATATGTGATTGTGTAAACGTGTGTGGATTGAAATGAATGTGACGTTGTAGCTTTTAAATGCAATAATATTATGTCTTCTCCAGTGGAACAACTCTTTTGAA